TAGGATAAGACAGTTTTCCAATAGAGACATTTTTGGAAAGTCCAAGCCCGACCCACTTAGATCAAAACTTCCAACTTGATTTTTCGAATAACTCGGTTACCCGAATAATCTTCCGCTTGTCCAAAGAATTTTCCAACCTTTCTTAAAAAGCCAGCGCCGCTTTCAAGCATCCTCCCTCCGTCGCGTTTAATTTTCCACTGGACGCGTTTACGCACATCTTTGCCAACACCCCGAAAAATTGAGATAAATAGCGAGCAACTAGACTTTTACCAATTAAGTTGACGAGTTTCTAATCTTGACGTTGGTACGAGTTTACGACCAACTAATCTTCCTCGTCGCGACTATTTATCATTCTTACCTGAAATTCGCGCCATTATTATGTAATCGTTAATTTTGACGGGAACGAGTATGACTATGATAAACGTTTCTTTTGGAAATCTCGTTGGAAAGAATTTTGCCACGCTTCTTCATCTTTATTTCATTTTTAAAACGATTCGAAATTGCGAAAACTCGGGGAAAAACTCGGTTAAATATTTTCTTCTTTACATATGTTTTCTTACACCACGTTCGGATTTTTATTTTCGAGAGGAAAGAAATATCTTGAAAACGTGTAACCAGATTTTGATTTTCGAGGGTTTCGCGATCCACGGGACGCAACAACGGAAACGAGTGGGAAACGGCTTACATACGTTTCTCCGATTCCGTAACTCAATTCCAGCTGTTTTAACGTCAGATGGAAACCTGCCTTTTCCATTCCCATGAAGCGATCCTACGGCTTTCTCCTCTTCGCCGGTTCAATTCGGCAGAATTGTTTCGTCTCGAGTTGTCTCCGATCATTGTACGCGATACGACGAGCTACAACTTCCATTACACCCAACTTCTATCCATGTTCTCTCGCGCGATATAAATATACTCGAGTAATGTCTGTTTCCAATCTATATCTCGAAAGATATTTTTTATCAGATAACTCTCGATTAAATTCTATCTAGAAATTCTGAAATCCACGCATATTTTAATAATCCCGATTGAAACTGTAAATGGATTTAATGAATAGTGAAAATATCGTCGTCGATTATTATTAATTATTACATCGATCGAATACGAATCTCTTGAAATTAGGCGTCGATAATGCTCCATCTTTAAACCAATTATCGCGTTTCGTTGTAATCAAGGGTAAATCAGATTTATTATCGCTCATAAAATTATAGGGCGGATGATTGGACGCGTTCCAAAATAGGTGGCAGACAGGTTCACGCCAACTTTTGTAACGCGTTCATTAATTACGACAATTATTCCGAGATTCGAGCTTATTAACGATCGTTAATGATCGCGTTACACGCGAAGATACCGACGTTTAACAACAAACTGGTGCTCGATAATCGAGCAACCGCTCCAATTAACATACAGCATCGTTTGGGCGTGATTCGCGTTTCGATAAATTGCCGCGATAAATCGCTTACCATTAAACATATTTTGCGTAAATAATTAATTCGTTCAAGGACGGAAACACGAGGGTCGAATTATTTTATTGTCGTATAATCGTTAGAACGTTATCGAATTAGGGGGATCCGAATTTTAATAATCGGACAATTTCGTTATATTCGCTTCTCCTCGAGGCAATCGTACGATTCTCGATCGATAATCGGTTCTGTTCCTGGCTCGGTCGACAATGGGGACTTCAAGAACCGATAATGATTATATTTCCTTCTCTCTTTATCGCGCAATTTTATTCTTATCGTTAAAAATATTTACGTAATAGAAATTGAACGAGAACTTTCCTCCCTCGCTGCTTTTCCTCCTTTCCTCTTTCACGACGATATTTTTCCTTCTACGCATTCGCACAGAAAGCGATCACAAAGTGTGGAAGGAAGGACACAGGCTACTTTTTCTCTGTAACAGATTTTATTTCGTTACTTCGCGTTGCAAAAAACGAAATTTAAGAAACTAATAATTAATGGAGAAAAATTGCAATTCTATCAAAATGTAAATGGACTCACCTCTTTGCGGAGACGATCCTGTAACGCTAAATCCAATCAACTCTCGAGGACAAGCAAGGATTCGAATCGTTCCAAAACGATCTGAAATTGCATCTCGAATCTAGGACTCGAGTTTACCATTGCATCGCGAAACAATGGGCAAACAGTAGGTTTCGATTTAACGTCGCTGGACCGATCGATCGATGGTTTCGTCGCTTCGGAATTTCTCCTCGCAAACCTCCTCCTACGATAATCAAAATTCTAATATTAAATTTGTATCGTGAAAATCGGCCGAATATTCGCAACATTCGCTCGTTATCGGAAAAATTAAAATTTAAATTCGAGAAGTTGCCTTCGTATATTTACGAAGGAACGACGACGGGACGACGTCCCTGGCGGGGCGTTTTCGCGCGAAGATAAAAAAATACGGGAATAAGGGAATAAGGGATGGCCGGTGTCTATTAAGCGATCCGTTGAATATTAATGGAGGTGGGCCGTGGCGCGACCATTAACCGAGCGATTATTAAAATATGCAGAACGCCCGTCCTAATTAGTCCAGCGACGAAAGCGAGAAGAGTTTTTGCCCCCCTCCTCCCTTTTCTTCTCGCCAACCGAGCAACCACCGAGTCCCAACCGCTTTCTTTCGTTACCCCTGCTCGATTACTCGCGCCCTTTCACCCGCGACAATTCCCAACTCTCTGCCGGGTCGATTAATCGCGACGGTTGGCCGGGTAGAGGATAATCGAAAATGAGCGGCTCGATCGGTGTACATCGATGCTGGAATCGAGAGCCGCCGGGTATCTCGTTAAAATGCATGGCCCTCCCTTCTCGTTGAGAAATCGTATCACGGAGCTGGAAAACGTAAGACCGTTTTTTGGGAACGACCGTGTTTTCGAAATTAGATTTTATACACCGCGCTACTATTCTTCGGATTCCAACACCTACGATATTCTCTTGTTATTCTTGGTAATTATCATTATCGATCAAATACGCGGTGAGAGATACTTTTTCCACCGCTTTTGTAATCGCGATCAAACTTGTGTCGCCTCTTTTAATATGAAAAAAGAAAAGGCTGACTTGTATTTAAAACGCTTTCGCAATTTGACGTATGGTGTTGCTCGATGCGCGTAAGGAAGAAGAAAAAGTGAAATTACAATCGTGTTATTTACATAACGTTAATAAAGTAGCATTACATTCCGTGATACGAAACTCGGAGGTAATCGAAGAGAAATTTACCTCGATCGATTACATCTGGCGCCGAAAATTTGTCGTCGAGATTACGTAAAACGAAATACGTAAGTTCTTCTTCTACCTCTCTCTCTCTCTCTCTCTTAACAAACGAATCTTTCTCTTCGTAAATAAATTATTTTTTTCTTATTCCATATTTATAACAACGCCAGTTTAAATTTTAACGAAAATATTTGATAAAAAGTAAATTCGGTGCTTTTACCTTAACTCGACCGTCTGGACTAATTAACTTGGTGCTAATTAAAAAGTTCATTCCTTTGTTAACGAAAGGCTTTCTTTCGGGCTGATTTCTCTACAAAGTAACCGTCTTCTCCACCTTTCCACCATTGTGCTTTAATAAATAATATAAAGAAAAGAAATAAGCGTTATTTTCCGAAAAGGATGATATTAATCTTAAAATTTAATCCCTAAACGAGTACAAGTTTCGAATCATTTAATTTTACAACGGCAGTTAAATCTAATTTTTCAAACACCCGATCAAAGAGCCGAATACGATCTCGTTTCGAATAATGCTCGTTTCCATAGGGGTGTTTTATCGGCGGGAACATTCGAACTTTGGAGAGCGTCACAGCAGTCGATGAAAGTAGATGTTCGATTTTTCCTTGAATCGCGCCGTCGAAGAATCCACTTTTCCGCTTTACGTAACGAATCGAGTCCGATCCTCCGTGAACGTTGGTAATTGCGTTTTCTCGCGACGACGTCCAACGGAGAAATCTATTACGTGAATCAAGAGGGAACTCTGGAAAAGTAAATACCGGTAAAAACGTAATTATTACCGACAATACTCGGCAGAATAAAAATCTCTTCTACTTCCCCCCTCCCCCCACTTTAATCCCTCGTCTCAACGTTGCCTCTGTTTTCACAGACGACTGTCCCAACTGCGTGGACGAGCACAGCAGCAACCTCGCCGCCTCCAGATGGACCATGCCGCTGTTGAAGCTCGGCGAGAAAAGATATTACCTGGGGATCTTCTTCAAGGTATCCTTCGACTGCCAATCACTTTGATTTATCTAGCTCGCTCGCCGGACGCGACCTGCTGGACATTATCCAATTATTTCCAAGCCCGTAACTTTGCTCGCTTTACGGTGCATCGAATACCAGACCGGCCTGTTATCGATCCGCTCCCCTCTCCATGCTTTTTGTATCAAAGAACCCGGAAAACCTCGATCCTCTCGTCCGCGATCCCTTCCTCGAAACAAATTCGGAATTTCGTCAACACCCGGTCGATGTTTCTTCCAAGGAGAAACGAGAGAAAGGAAAAATGTTGTTATATATTTTATTTTCGAACCATCGTTCCTCTCTGTCTTCGTTCAATTGTATTCGGGACTACTTCGCGTCAACGTCAGACACCCGAATCTCAACGACTCTTCCTTCCTCTCTGGCGCAACCTCGCCTCCATTCCGCGCCACTTTAAAACAGGAACAGCGTCGTCTCAGCGACGATCAATGCCTGCAAGTACCATTAACCCATTTATCGCGTATTCGTGTCTAGTTTAAACCCACTTTGACACACCTCTAACCTAGACCCTCCGCCCCTTCGAGTTCCCAGTTCGTGACCACGAATTCCTCTTCGTTCGCCCGTCCAAAAACGGATCGAACGACTCCCTCTCCCTCTCTCTCTCTACGATTGCCCCACGGGTCGAATCGCTTCGATCGCACGCAAACGGAACCGTGTTATTAAGATTTTGCAATGGCGCGTCCGGCCTTGCAACCATCTTTCCGAAACGTGACGTAAAGCGATAAACGAGGGTGTTTCGCAACAGCGTCAAGGAGCGGCGGCCCGATCCATCCTGTAATCCGGATTAACGGACGTCCTTCCAGATATTCGTCTTACCTTTCGTTTCGCATGCTGTTCCTCCGATAAATCTTACTCCGTTATTCCAAGATTATATCGTATTTCGTATAAAACGTTTCACGAAACGTTGGGAAAAGGGAAAATTCTGTAACTGGGGGATTTTTATTTAAATTTGATAAACGCAGGAATTTCGGAAATTCTTTGGAAGCGTAAACGGCCACGTTGTTTAATATTAGAAATATTTGAATGGGAACGAAATATGCAAATGTCGCGGACCCATGTTTCTTTTGCGCTTCCCCTATCGCTTGTAAAATACGAGAATGCTTGTTGCGTGGTCATTTGCCAGCCGTAATGGAGCCGGCTGGCAAAATTTATGCGGATTTACGCTCGCGTTTTTGAGCTCGTACTTTCGCGGTGAATCGTGCCGCTCGGACGAGGCTCCCCTTCCCTCCGCGGATACGCGAAATTCATGGAGGAAGGTGTATCCGGTGACAACGAAAAGGAGGGAAATACGATTTATGAATAAAATTGAACGTAATGTAAAGTGGGCGGAGAATTTCACTTGAAACACGAATAATTATAACGCAAATATTTCAACGGAAAAATATTTTATATTTTTATCCACGGTCGCAGCATCTCGTCCCCGCTTTAATTAGATCGTCCAAATAACTGTATTAAAATGCTTTCCCCTGTATTTGCATACGTATAATTTTTCACTCTGTTTTTTCTCTCCATTTTTCTTTTTTCCGCTACACTTTACGAAAAAACACACATTTCCAGCGTATCGAAGCGACACGAGAGGAGAGGAGAGGAGAGAGAGTTTGAATCGATGCATCGGATCGATAAGCTCGAAATATCATTTCCTCGAAACGAAAACTTTTCTTTGCAACGTCTACATAAAATAATTTCCACGTGGAAAGCAAATTTATCCGATCGTTTTATCTCATCGCAATTGCGACGAGATCTCTTTCAATTTCGAAAAAATGTAAAGAACAAGCTGGATTGTTCGAGGACAGAAAGGAGGCACGATCGAACGTTCGAATAGACGTTCGTGAATGTTCGATTTTTTTTCCTTTTTTTCACCGCGGACAAAGTAAAAGGGTAATTACGGGAGAAAACAGGGTGGCTCGGTATACGCGATCGCGAATAATTCTTTTCACGTTCATCGATTGCCATGGGTAATTTGCTAGACGGAACGAGCGTCTGCGCTGCCCTTTCTGCCCATAAAGAACCGGTATTTTCATCGGAATCGAGTAATTTTCAAGTAAATTCGATTAAAGGAATAAATTAGGGGGACGCGATTATTCGAAATGTTTCTCGATTTTTCACGCAACAAAACGATTTAGCGGAGGAAATGAAAAAGTCGCATCGATCATTGGTCCAGAGAGAAGACACCTTGATCCGAAAAGAAAAAGAATAACAAGCGGGATATCGTAAACGACACGGAGAAGGTAGTTTATCCTACGATGGTATACGCGAAACCGGTATCGTACTATGCAATCGCAACCATTTTCTACTTATCGCGATTTATTTGCATTCTGGCCGAGTTTTTCGCGCGTGATTTTTCGCCTCCTCCTCCGTTCTCCTTCTTTTCTCGTTTCCACTCTCGTGTGACACGTGTCTCGAGTACTTTAACCACGGGAAAAAGTTCCTCCGCGTCGAAAACTCGACCAAATCTTGACGACGTGACGTCAGAAATATGAACGACGTATGAAAAAAATGATATTGCGTGCGAAACGAGATATGCTTATAAAGTGCTTAGAAAATTCGAGGAAAACGCGTTACTTCTCTGAAAATGTATTATATTAATGGAACTAAGTTGCAATAAAAAGTGATGCGTTAATTTCAGCAATTATAATACAAAATATTCGTAAAATTTGTCAATTCGATTTCAAAATTCTTTGATTCGTGACCACGTAGGAGCATTATGTTTTGACAACGTTATGCGAATATTTCGAATTTTCGAAAGAAAATATCAATTAATTTAATTACATAAACCCGATGCATTAAGCGTATCACGATATAATACTGCAAATTGTATCTACGGTTTAAACGTACAAAGACTAGCGTTATATCAAAGTCCATAATTTAACGAATAATTATTGTTAATGTCCAAACCAGTGTCCCTTTTAATTACATCGAATCTCACTTTACGATAACAAATTACCATTCAAATCAATGCATGCATTATTCGCTTCAAAGATAACATTTACCGTTCACATAACTTTGTACGATCTATTCATTTTTTATTTAACGTGAAGCATATACCCACGTCTAAACTAACTTTTAATTAATTTTAGAAAAATTAATATAGACGAGAAAATCTTTACCATCTTTGTACTTAATAAACGATAAGATAAAAGTGCCATTGATTTTTCTTTTCGTTTCGTATAAAAAGATGAAATTCGCCTCTTTTTAATGCCTCTTGTGCGAATTATTTTATTCGTTTTGCAATCTTCCAGGCCAATTGGTACAGAGCGTCTCAATATTGCCGATACCACGGGATGCATCTGGCGAGCATAGCGTCGCAGGAGGAAAACGACAGACTGGAGAAACATATTAAAGATTTCGGTCTTGGACACGAGCACTTTTGGACCTCTGGTACGGACCAGGCCGAAGAAGGTACTTTCTTCTGGATGGCCAATGGCAGACCCATCACTTTTGAAAATTGGAACGTAGGCGAGCCGAATAATTTCAGGTACGTATTTCCTGATAATTTAAGCTATTAAAAAAATTGCCATTTTTCCCACCCTCCCTTTAAAACTTACAATTTTTCGCGAGCGAGTATAATAAAAAATACCGTTGGAAAAATTAAGTTGATCGAGGATAAGATAGACTCTCGAGAAAGAAAACACCATGAATGCATTTGGTTACAGATACGAGAACGGCGAGGAAGAACACTGCCTCGAGCTGTGGAATAGGGATGGAAAGGGATTGAAGTGGAACGACAGTCCGTGCAGTTTCGAAACCTTTTTCGTTTGCGAGGTGCAATGATCGATCCATCCAACTACGAGATTGACGAAACACGAATCTTCCAAGATCATCGATTGGATACAACATCGATCTACTACTACCTTATCGAGTCAGCTAGCTATTGCCCGATCGATTCCTCTCCATCGAGACCATCCAACAAAATAGAACAAAACTGACTTTTTATGTGTGTTACGTGCGTGTATTTCACACGAGCAGCGCTCGATGGATGTAGTCGTTGAAGGAATCGTAGTCAGAATGATGAACCTGTGTGTAAAGATATTTTTGCGAAACTCGTAAAGTTTGCTGCGTTCTATTTTGTATTTGAAGAATGTCATAAGCGTATATAATAAACAGAAATAATAAAAATGTCTTTTTTACCGGATAAGAACTGATTTAACATTTAGCTTATTATCTTATTCACGTTTCTCGTAGATATACTATTTGCTTTTTAAACTTAAAGATTAGAAGTAGAATAAGAACTTATAAGTTTTAATATCGATATAAGTATAACGTAAATTAGTCATTTGTCGTTAATATAAGAATTTTTTTTTCTTTTTTTTTTTTTTTTTTGGATAATAGATAGATTTAGATGGTAAATAAATTGGAGTTCGCGTGCTATTTATTTTTCTAAATAAAAAACTTATAGAATTATAGATACATCGTTTAACTCGTAAAACTCGAGTGAATGCAAAGATCGTTGTTAAGTCAGTTAAGTCAGAAAATCAGGGAATTTTTCAATTTTACCGATCAATGGAATCGACGATTATTCGTTAAAATTTGAAGTTCCATCGATTGGCAAAATTTTTGACTTCTTATTCTTATATAAGCTATCATTTTCCTTTTTCATTAACCAAAACCACATTAAGAAAATATGAAGAAAAAGAAAAATATAAGGAACGTTAAAACGCGAGTATGATTAACAACGATATGATTAAATCATGAATAACATAAAATATATTTTTATTTTCTAATTAATAATTAGCAAGCAAAAAATAAATAACTAAATCAATAATCAGAAATTATTATGTTGAATATCATATAGCAATTAGCGATCAATTTAATGTTTATGAGCGAAATATGTTTGATTGAAATTTTATGATTTTGATATGGAAACGCTAAATTCAGATGTTATAAACGAAATTATGTATTTACACGTGGCATCATATAGCACTATGCAATAAAATCCAAATCAAATATTACTATTTTTTAATATTTTTCGATTTTTCCAATTAATAATTCGTTATATGATATATAACATTAAGAATAAAATAGAAAAACTTTATTTGTTTTTAAATCTTTAATCAATTGTTCAATCTCGAAAAGTAAAAAATTTACGTGCCCATTGTGTTTTTCAATGTTAAAGAAAATTGTTTTACAAAAATGTGTAAAAATTCTTTGATGATCGATTTTTCTCCGATTTATAACTTACGTTTCAATGAGTGAAAAAAATCTCGCGTTTTATACAGGGATGTTTAAGGTTTAAACATCATGGCGACGAAACATCGAAACACGTCCAAATACTATGAACAAGTACCGCGGCAAACACTTTTAGAAAAAGATAAAAAATCCGATAATAAAACGAGCAGAAAAATATAAAAAAAAAAAAAAAAAAAAAAAGGAAAA